TAATTAATCATAATTAATTGTAATTATTTATATACATTTCCCATTTGAGCTAATTTGCTAAACAAAAAAATAATTATATATATATATATATATATATATCTCTCTCTCTCTCTCGCTCTCTCTCTCTCTCTCTCTCTCTCTCGCTCTCGCTCTCGCTCTCGCTCTCGCTCTCGCTCTCGCTCTCGCTCTCGCTCTCGCTCTCGCTCTCGCTCTCGCTCTCGCTCTCGCTCTCGCTCTCGCTCTCGCTCTCGCTCTCGCTCTCGCTCTCGCTCTCGCTCTCGCTCTCGCTCTCGCTCTCGCTCTCGCTCTCGCTCTCGCTCTCGCTCTCTCTCTCTCTCTCTCTATGTCTCTCGCTCTCTCGCTCTCGCTCTCTGTCTCTCGCTCTCGCTCTCTCTCTCTATGTCTCTCTCTCTCTCGCTCTCTCGCTCTCGCTCTCTCTCTCTCTCTCTCTGTCTCTCTCTCTCTCTGCGCTCTGCGCTCTTCTGAGGCATTTAAGGCAAACAGTAGGAGAAGGGCGAGGGCTGATGAAACGGACATGAGCGAGTGACATCATACAGACGGACACGCTGCGTCTGTGAGAGACAGGGCTTCACAAACATTTCATGTGTAATGTGCATTTCTCTTATTCGAGAATGTAGCCAAAGCAATTGAGGAATACTGTAAGATATCCCAGAATGCTCTTTCAATGTTTGCACAGATCTGGTTTGTGTTAATGCGGCGGCGTGTGTTTGTGTTGCAGGTGAACACACGTATAAGTGCATGTCGTGTCCGTTCTCCACCATGACCATCATCCAGCTGAAGGAGCACTCGCTGCAGGAGCACGGAGAGACGCTCACGCTGCCCAAACTCAGAGCCGGAGCCCCGCTGCGCTCCACACGACCCAACACTGAACACGACGAGCAGGACACGGCCCTCGACCCACAATGCACCGGTAAGACCCCAACACTGGGGTTAAAGGTCAATGCAGAAACTTCCTGATACGGAACATGACATGCATGGGAAATATGATTGTTCATTTAGTGAAAACAAACCGATTGTTTAGTATTTGACTTCTTGCATTAAACATTTTGAATATAATTGGGAACAATTATATATTATATATTGGCATGAGGATGAAAAATATTGTTTATATAAACTGTTGTTTAAACGTTTGAACTCGGTAAGGTTTTTTATTATTATTATTAATTAGTGTTTTTATTTAACAAGGACACATTAAATTGATCAAAAGTCAAAGTCAGGACATTTATAATGTTACAAAAGATTTATATTTCAAATAAATGCTGTTCTTCTGAACTTTCTGTTCATCTGTGAATCCTGAAAAAGAAAATGCATCACGGTTTCCACAAAAATATTAATGTTTTCAACATTGATGATAATCAGAAATGTTTCTCGAGCAGCAGATCAGCATATTATACTGATTTCTGAAGATCATGTGACGCTGAAGACTGGAGGAATGATGCTGAAAATACAGCTGCACATCACAGAAATACATTACAGTTTAACAGATACTCACATAGACAACAGCTGTTTTACATTGTAATAAAATTACACAATTTTACAGTTTTTCTGTATTTTTATTAAAATATATATAATATCAAATATATATGTTTGTAAAAAAAATATTTTTACATTTAGAATGAGTGACACGTGGACACATCACACTCGCTCAACATGTAATTTATTGTGCTAAAACAAGGGTTAAAATTACTGGTTAGATTCCGCTTTAAAGGTGACATATCATGAAAATCTGACTTCCAGGTGTTAAGTGCTATAATCAGGTCCCCGGTGCATCTACCAAGCAAGGAAACGTGAAAAAAGATTAACCCTGTAACTTTGTTTTGGGAAGCCTTTTTCTGCAAGCGTCTGAGAAAACCAGCGCGTCTGATTTCGCTCCCTTGGTGACGTGACAAAGGGGTCTCATTATAATATCACCACCCCTTAATCTGTAAGTGTACACTCACGGTGCCGTCATTTTGATTTTGCAAGCGACAACGGTGTACCAGTTCTAATGCCATGGTGAAAGTTTGAGCAAAACACGCTAACTGTTCTGTGTTTGGCTGCACAGACGAGCACAGAACACTGTTTAGAGTCCCAGCCTCAGAGGAGACGACAGAGCAGTGCATTTATTAATGTATTTACTGTATATTGCTGCTGCCACACAGATCTAAAATAAACAAGAGATTTATTTCCCAGCTGTTTACCTTCACAGACATAACCCACTGTTTTTGTAACTCGTGTGTTTTTAACGTAAACTTGTGTGAATGAGAGCTTAGTTTAGTACTCACATGCTGCGACAGCCGCTTTCTGTGCGTGTGCTTCAGATGTGTGCGCTCAGAAAACCCTATATCAGAAGTTTAAACTAATATGGTTTAAAACACATGATTTCAGCACGATAAACATGATAATCAGAACCAAAACAGATGTTTTTAGCAGGTACGAGCTATTCTGGAAAAGGGGGCGGAGAGCAGCAGCTCATTTGCATTTAAAGACACAGACACGAAAAACAGCGTGTTTCTGCTTCCACTCAAAATAGGCATTTTCAAAATGATATAATAAATTATCTGTGGGGTATTTTGAGCTGAAACTTCACAGACACATTCTGGGGACACCAGAGACTTATATCACATATTGTAAAAAGGGGCATAATATATATCCTTTAAAAGAAAAAAAACGTGCAACTGAAACACGCACAAGTGCACATGTGTCGGTATGAGCCGAGGCAGATGTTAATAGCAGGTGTAAGCGCCTTCTAGACGCTGATGTCTTTGTCTCGCTGCTGTCGTCTCAGCGTCTGCGGGGTATCTGGAGCCAGCAGATGTTCAGCAGCAGTTGAGTCACTTCCAGCTGGCGTCTCGGGTCCAGGCCGATGTTTCCTCCAGTCCGCCGCCGCCGCTCGAGAGTCCCGTTCCTCAGGCCCGGCCCGACTCCATCCTCACCTGTGAGTTCTGCGAGTTCAGCTCCGGCTACATGCAGAGTCTGCGCAGACATTACCGCGACCGGCACGGAGGAAAGAAGCTCTTCAAATGCAAGGACTGCTCCTTCTTCACCTGCTACAAGTAAGAACAGCGTGAGCCGCTGGAGAATCACATATCAGACTATATCAGCCAGTATCATCTTTATTTATTTACATTCAGGCATTTGGCAGACACTTTTATTCAGAGCGACTTGCATTGCATTCAAGCTATACATATGATTAGTTCATGCTTTCCCTGGGAATTGAACCCATGACCCTGTCGGTGCGAGCACAATACTGTTTCAGCTACAGGTGTTTATCATGAGCTGTCTGGTTAGGCTGTTAAAAGAGTAAGATCAGGGCGTATTTACTCCAGCAACCGGTTTACTAAATACTAAACAGTCATCCACCTTCTGCTACACCTTATCATGTTTTAAATACAGTATGCCAAATACTAGAGGTCTAGATCAGAGTTTTTCATCTGCCGAACAACTTTGGACTGAAATGTTTACTTAAGATAATATTAATTTAACAACACATTCACATGTTCACGGTTCTCTGATGTCAGTTAATAGTCGCATGACACAGGAAAACTATTTTTAATGTAATGTTTTTATTTTATTTTTTATTTAAATATTTTATTTATTTGGTTAGATTTTCATCAGCTCATTTTGAAAAAAAAATTATTTTAAGTTTACATTATATTACATTATAAAATTATTTTTAGTGTTTTGTTTTATTTTTATTCTAAGTGTTTTTTCTGATTGCATTACAATATTTACATTTTGATTTGATTATTTGCTTTTAAATCAACTCATTTTAATTTAATTTGAAATTTATTTGAGTTTTACATTTTTTTTTATCATTTACCTTTTCATCAACCCATTTTAATTTGTTTTTATTTTGACATTCATTTTAATTTATATTTTTATTTAAATAATTGTTAGTTTTTCATCTGCTCTTTTTGATTTGTTTGACATTATTTTAATTTTACAATTTTATGATTTAATTAATTGTTCGCTTTTCATCAACCCATGAACCCCACTTTCGGAAACATTAGTCTAGAGTTTGGTAGTTCTAGATTGGACACTTAACAGGCAAAACAAAATAGATTTGTTATATTAGAAGTTATATCAGCCTCCGCAAAACAAAATCTATATAATATAGTTATGAAAATATCCATGTGGCTGAATCTCTAGGCTTACATGTCAGAGTAGTATTCATGTGAGTGAATGTGTTTTTTGTTGTGTGTTGCTCAGGTCCACGTTCACGCTGCATGTGGAGGGCGGTCACACCAGCGGCCCCGAGGAGCCTCCCAAAGATCTGCGCTGCCCCTTCTGTCTGTACCACACCAAACACAAGAGCAGCATGATCGACCACATCGTCCTGCACAGAGGTCAGTTACTGAGAAAAACTGACCAGAACAAAATCTTGACTTGTTTTTAAAGATTTATTGGACACAAGTATGGAGGAGGCAAGTCTGATCATAAGATATTTCTTCTCTTTATCTTCCTTGTTTCAACTTCCTCAATCGAATGCTTGCAGTTTTTCTTTTTGTAGCACATGCTATTGGTGGAATGTAACTATCCACCTTATTTTTCAATGCAGAAGTAGGCTATTTCCTGTGAATGTGCGATACTTTTGATTCATTAGTTGCTATTGGTAAATGCTGTAATACCATTTGAGCAATAAACCCGTGTGGTTATGATTACGATAATAAAGTAAAATAATATAATGCCAAATATCAGTTTGTAACACCAAGCAGCATAACGGACAGCTACAATAACTGGAAGCAAATGACACTGGAAATTTTGCACGTTCAGTTTAAAAACGGTGCTCGCTACTATGTTAAGAATAAGGTGGATATTTGGTGTGTAGTTTTTAAGTTTCATTATTTTTAGGCTTAAGACTTCAGAAGATGTGGGTCAGTTGGAGGCCATACTCCAAAAACTCATTAATGTGATATGAATCAGAGTCTGGTGATATTGGAAAAACATTTTCACCGTGTTCTGAGGAATAAAATGTTGTATAAATCAACGTGAATGATATATGAACAAACCCCTCAGTAAAAACCTTCAGAATATAGAGAGGAATAAAATTGTAAAGGTTGGTGTATGTAAGTGCTGCTGAAGTGGAGAAACAAACTCAGGGCCTTTAAAAATATGCATTTTCGCCATGTTTTTTGGAATAAAATGTTGTCAAAATCTATGTGAATGATGTATGAACAAACCCCTCAGTAAAAACCTTCAGAATATAGATAGGAATAAAACTGTAAAGTTTGGTGTATGTAAGTGCTGCTGAAGTGGAGAAACAAACTCAGGGCCTTTAAAAATATGCATTTTCACCAAGTTTTTATAAATAAATTGTCCTATAAATCAGCGTGAATGATGTATGAACAAATCCCTCAGTAAAAATCTTCAGAATATAGAGAGGAATAAAATTGTAAAGGTTGGTGTATGTAAGTGCTGCTGAAGTGGAGAAACAAACTCACAACATTTAAAAATGTGCATTTTCGCCATGTTTTTTGGAATAAAATGTTGTCAAAATCTATGTGAATGATATATGAACAAACCCTTCAGTAAAAACCTTCAGAATAAAGATAGGAATAAAACTGTAAAGTTTGGTGTATATAAGTGCTGCTGAAGTGGAGAAACAAACTTTTAAAGTATGTATTATAATTGAAATTTACAGACGCAAATAGAAAAAGTGCAAAAAACGACGACTTAAATGTGTCTTTTGGATGTTTTCTTTCCAGTAGTCTGAAAGAAGACATGCTATGGAAGCAAAATAGGCCAAAATCGACCAGTTCTTGAAAAAACAATGGGTCTCGACCTTAAACCTTTTTTTTTTTTCCTCCAAATATCCAAATTAGCAGTATATTATTAAATATGCAAAAATATGTGAAGATGTAGGTCAGTTGGTCATTTAAGGCTACACTTCAAAAGTGCATTAACGTGACATGCATCAGAGTGTGATTGTGTTGTTTTTATGGTTCTCAGAGGAGCGCGTGGTCCCGCTGGAGGTGTCTCGCTCGAAGCTGTCTCGTCATCTGAAGGGCCTGGTGTTCCGCTGTCACAAATGCACCTTCACCTGCTCCAGCGAGCCGAACCTGCAGCAGCACATCCAGAAGCACGAGGAGCTGAAGCCCTACCAGTGTCAGCTCTGCTACTACGACAGCAAACTCCTGCACGAGCTGGAGATCCACCTGCACCAGGAGCACAAGGTCTGTCTTCTGTCATGTCTGATCTTTCTGTGGCTTGTTCGGGAGCCGGTTACTCAGTCTAACCCGTCGTCTGCAGGTGATCCGTAACTTTGAGCTGGTGGGGCGGGTGAACCTGGACCAGCTGGAGCTGATGAAAGACAAGACGAAGGACGTGAGCAGCAGTGAGGAGGAGGAGAGAGGAGAAGACGAGACTGAAGAGGAGGAGGAGGAGGTGGAGGAAGAGCTGATGGAGGAGGAAGATGAGGAGGAGACGAACAGCCAGACGGAGGTGACAGGTAACAGTCTTCATGTTCATCTGTAGAGATGATAAACTCAAGACTTTATTATTAGTCTTCTACAAAATATTTTTATAAAAATAGCATGAATAGCAATTCACCACTTGTCAAAAAAACTACATTTTGTTGTATTTGTTGACTTTTTTTATATTAAGGCAAGACACCACAGGTGATATCACCATACTTTCACCAATTGATCAATCAGAGTACATTAAGACAATTGATTTATATTACAAGTTTTTTTAAATGTAGCAGCTTTGCATACATTTTCAGAAAATAAATCTGAACACTGGATAAAGTCAGGTTCAAAACTCTTTTTTGTTTTTCTTGACATATTAAAGGTTATTCCAGAGGGGATTTTGGATTTCTCTTTTTGTCACTCCATAAATCGCTGGTGGGGCGGGTGAACCTGGACCAGCTGGAGCTGATGAAAGACAAGACGAAGGACGTGAGCAGCAGTGAGGAGGAGGAGAGAGGAGAAGACGAGACTGAAGAGGAGGAGGAGGAGGTGGAGGAAGAGCTGATGGAGGAGGAAGATGAGGAGGAGACGAACAGCCAGACGGAGGTGACAGGTAACAGTCTTCATGTTCATCTGTAGAGATGATAAACTCAAGACTTTATTATTAGTCTTCTACAAAATATTTTTATAAAAATAGCATGAATAGCAATTCACCACTTGTCAAAAAAACTACATTTTGTTGTATTTGTTGACTTTTTTTATATTAAGGCAAGACACCACAGGTGATATCACCATACTTTCACCAATTGATCAATCAGAGTACATTAAGACAATTGATTTATATTACAAGTTTTTTTAAATGTAGCAGCTTTGCATACATTTTCAGAAAATAAATCTGAACACTGGATAAAGTCAGGTTCAAAACTCTTTTTTGTTTTTCTTGACATATTAAAGGTTATTCCAGAGGGGATTTTGGATTTCTCTTTTTGTCACTCCATAAATCAGAAAATACTGTCAACAGACAGAAAACAAACACATTTTCACCATGTTTTTTGGAATAAAATGTTGCATCAATCAGTGTGAATGAAATATAAACAAACGCCTCAGTAAAATCCTTTAGAATATAGATAGGAATAAAACTGCTAAGTTTGGTGTATCTAAGAGAAAAAACTCTTTAAAGATATGGATTAGAATTGACATCTACAGACACAAATAGATAAAGTTTAATAAACACTTAAATGTGTATTTTGGATGTTTACTTCTCACTAGTCTGAAAGAAGACATGTTATGGAAGCAAAATACACCAAAATCTCAAAATTAGCCAGTGCATGAGCTAACAATGATATTGGAAATATCCAAATTAGCATTATCTTATTAAATATGCATAAATATTAGCATATTGCAACAAAAATGTTATAGACTGAACAGAAAATGTGTTTTTAGAGGTTTTAAATTCACGATAATTTTCCATTTATCTCAATAATACTGAAATGTAATGTACTGTAGATAAAAGCATCTGCCAGATGTAAAATAGCTGTTGAAAGATGCTGATTTTCCAAAAATGGCGTTTTTATCAATCTTTTGCGCTGTTTTTGTTGTATTTCCTGGTGATGCAGGTGTTGAGGAGTCTCCCAGCGGCAGCGGCGTCAAACGCTATCCGTGTGAGTTCTGCGGCCGCACCTTCACACTCGGCTCCGAATGGGAGCGACACGTCCTTCGACACGGCATGTGAGTCTCCAGATCACTGGGAATAACTTAACCCTTACAAAATCTTACCATAGTAGTGTATGAACTAAATCTGAGGCGTGTTTCATGATTTCAGGACTGTTAATGGCAGCAAGAAAGACGGCAGTCCTGTGCCCTCGTCAGCGCTGCCTCTGATTGGTCCAGCAGCTGTGAGTGACAGAGGGCTGGACCTATCCAGTAACACTGTGGATCAGTCTGACCAATCCAAGTGTCCGATTCAGACCGAAGAAGACAAAGAGACCAAAAACGACCCTTAGGAGCAAAACGAAAGCTGTAGAGAATGTCATGCGTTCTGTTGTTTCGTCTGTCTGTTCACCGTTTGTTTTGTTGCAGAACAACATCGGCTGCTTCTTGAGTATTTGGTTTAAAAAGCTAGATTTGTGTAATTCTTGTTGGAAAAAACATTATAATTTTAAGTATTTATTTATTTAACATGTATAATAGTGAAGCAGGTTTGTTAAATACTATTATTTGGGGAAATGTTCATCTAATCAAAGTCTGTGTTTCATATTACAAGGAAACCATAAAATCATTCAATTTAAAATCTAGTCTTTATATATATTATTATTATTATTAATACTTTTTTTTTTTTTTTTTTT